AAGCTGAAAACACTAACCTTTAGTGCTTTTCTATAGTATTAAGCCTCAAATGTCAACTATACATCGGATTGGTTTCTTCTTTAAATGATAAAAAAGTAAAAATATGAATGGTATTATAATGTTATACTAAAACTAAACCAATAGAAAAACCCTTACGATAACTTGTAGAAAGAAAAAAACGCATCTTAAGCATGCAGAATAACATAAGTGGGCTTTAAACGATTAATTGCCACTTTGAACGATTACGTAATTGTGGCATCCATAATTGTAATCACGATTAGAAATTCGATAAATGTGATAACATTATAATACCATGCATATTTTTACTTTTTTATTATACTGTAAAGAAGAAACCAATCCGATGTATATTTGACATTTGAGGCTTAATACTATAGAAAAGCACTAAAAGTTAGTGTTTGCAGCTTGTTTATATTCATATAAAAATACGGCATGCAGTTGCATCAAACAATGATATAAGCACCATTCAGTGTAAATTGTGATAATCGTAATCATTCAATGTAAATTGTGATAATCGTAATTAATAATCGCAATTACAATTTCAAGGGAATAATCGACAATTATGATTGTGGTCATAATCGTGCAGCCCTGACAGAAACTCTAGTAGTTTATCAGTGACTGGAATAATGTGACTGATGATAAAAAGCGTGTCATACAGATCAGATCATCTTCAGAGAGACTGTGTGCCGCACCTGATCCGAGTTGTTCTTGAGCTTAACGAAGCGTCCGTCCAGGTCGATCTCGTCGATGCACAGGTTCCCGCGCGAGGAGGAATGCTGGGAGAGCTTGTAGCTGGGAGACAGTCCTGAACTCGTGCCCTCATGTTTGCGCTTCCTCGTGCGAGAGACCGACGACTGCTGGACCGGACTCGGAGACAGATTCAGTCTGAGAGCAACCAAAGCACACAAACACAGCTCTCAGCATCACTCAATGCTAGCTAATGCATTTTTCAATGCATTTATTAATCTGTTAAATGTTAGCTAATAAAAACATAATTGTTTGTTCATGTTAGTTCACGGTGCATTAACAAATGTTAACGTTATTATTATTATTATTATTATTATTATATAAATTTAAATGCATAAAATACAATTGTTGAAATGGACATTTAACCAAAGCATTTGAATTAAAATATTTAAAAAAACAGCATTTATTAATCTTTGTTAAATGTTAGCTACTAAAAATACAGTTGTTTATTGTTCGTTCACTGTGCTTGAATTAATGTTAACAAATACAACTTTAAAAAAAAAAGTATTAAATGCTAAAATTATCATTATTATTATATAAATTTAAATGCATAAAAACAAGGTAGATAAAATTGTTGAAATGAACATTTAACCCCCCCCCCAAAAAAAACTTTAAATAAAATACAAATAAATAAATAAATAAATAAAATAAAGCAAACAAATAAATTAAATCAAGGTAGATAAAATTGTTGACATGAACATTTAACCCCCCCCCCAAAAAAACTTTAAATAAAATACAAATAAATAAATAAATAAATAAAATAAAGCAAACAAATAAATTAAATAAACAAATAAAATTCATCCATTCAAGCAGAGCTTGGAAATAGCTGCTTATCTTGTTTAAAGTCAATGCTGAATTTAATTAATACATTAATATATAACCTTTTATAACATTATAAATGTCTTTACTGTCACTTCTGATCAATTTAATGATGCATCCTTGCTGAATGAAAGTAGTAGGGTCAAAGACGAAAAAGGGTTTAAGCATAAAAACAATAAGTGTAATACTGCTTTAAATTGTTGTTGTTTTTCCCCAAAAAATGTAAAAAGTTTTCTGTTTAATGTAATTGTAATTTTGTGTTTGTTTTTCTGAGCAAAAAATAAATATTGTACATTTTTCCCTGATTTACAGAAGACACCCACTCATTCAGTGTAACATTCTTGTCTTGGCATATTTACAACAAAAATCAATTTATGAC